CTCCATAAGGGTCTGCCTGTGTATTTTCATCTCTTGTCCCTCCACACAGTGGAGTGTGGAATATGGTAAATCTTCAACAACTATCATATTAAGCAGAGTCTTAAACAGTCAATAAATGCGCACTTTTATGTCCTACTCATTTCTGCCATAAGGAAAAGGTAAATTATTAAACAACACAAAGTATACATTCTAGAATCTTAGAAGTCATAGAATATGCATATTCAGGCCTGCTGCTAATATTTTGGGGACCCGCTGTGAGTACAAATGGAGGACCACCAACCTACCCTATGCAAAATATTTTGAAGGTATAAAAGCAATCTAACCAACCATTAAATTAAATATAGTCCATCTTCTTACTTGAGAAATATAGCTTCAAAATTATCTGAAAAGCAGGACTGAATTTAGAATTCTCACTGGTAGTGTGGGGATATTGAACCGCAGACCCTGGCCCTTGGTCATGGCCCCTAGCCTGTAGTCCATACCCCCTTCCACCCCCAGCTCAGTTCCACACTGTGAAGTGACATGCTCACACACACACACACGTGCACATTCAGCGGCCAGGCTGAGGTCTTTGGGGCAAGGAATTCCTGGCCCCATGTAACTAGAATCCCCTTGGCTCAACGCCATTAAATATTCTGTTGAAAATGGAAAGGTATATATGGTATATTAAATTTTAAAAACAGGGTTTGAAGGTTTTAAGACATCTGTATAATACTCTATTTTTGTGAAAAATTATATACATATATAAAAGTACATAGAAAAAAATCCAAAGAAGTATACATCAAATTTATTAAGGTTATTATTATCTCCAGGTGATGGGATCAGGTGCAATTTTTTCTTTTTACTTATCTGTATTTTATATGTTTCTACTATGAACATGCATTATGTCATTTTTAAAATGATAAAAGTTAAAATCAAGAACATAAAAAAAGTACTTATACTGGGATAATTTCTACACTGTTTAAGTGAAACATGATATTTGTTAAAACCTCAAAAATTTAGTATTTCCTATGCAGGAATAGTAGAGGATTTATAAAATATACCAGAGAACCCATTGGCTAGTGAGGAAAATGCATGAAACTATTGAGAGCCCCATATTTACAGACATGTGCTCATGAGGCTATGAATGTATACATTTATACTGAGCCATACAAAAATACTGAAAGTATACAGGGCATATGTGTTCATCCTGGTGCCCGGAATTCTGCGGACAGAGAAGCACTCTGTTCTCCAGAGAGCCTGTCACGAGCTCCCTGTCTGAATGTGGGCAAACTGCTGTGGGCCCTAAACGGTGGGGTCGGGGTATAAAACTAGTCACTAGCAAAACGCGTGCAGAGACTCAGAGAACGACCATCTATCTGACTAGTATTGCTGCACTAACATGGAAGGGAAGGATATTATTTGTTGATATTCCAGGTAATTTTAAGGATTGTTTGTGTGTGTGTGTGTGTGTGTGTGTGTGTGTAGGCACACACACCATACTCCCCATACATATGCAAATTGCAAACAGAACCTGGATTCTTATCCGAACGGCATTTCATTTTATTTATTTATTTATTTAGTTTTCCCCCAAAGCCCCAGTAGACAGTTGTATGTCACAGTTGCACATCCTTCCAGTTGCTGTATGTGGGACGCGGCCTCAGCATGGCCGGAGAAGCGGTGCGTCGGTGCACGCCCGGGATCCGAACCCGGGCCGCCAGCAGCCAAGCGCGTGCACCCAACCACTAAGCCACGGGGCCGGCCCTGAACGGCATTTCAATAACCGTAGATGTTGTTGGGTTTTTTTCTCACTGAGAGTAAACTTCTGCTTAGAGATGGAATCAGAATAATCATCATATAACTTTTCAACAATCTCAGTGCATAATAAATTGACCCAAATATTCCCTCAAAGTGTTCAAGCTATAAATTAATTCTAAACTAAGCTTCTCTGAACTCATTTTTGAAAGTTAGATTTAAATTAGCATTTCCTGCCATTTGTAATAAATAAGTATTACATATAAACAAGAATGTGACAACATTTCTATTTTCAGGGGATTCTAACTAGACCATAAATATTTACTCCAGATAAACGTCTGAGGGAAAAACAAGTGCATTCCCAAAAGAACTGCTATTTTTTCTATATTCTGAAAAATTCATCTGCTCAAAAAGAAGTATTATACATTCAGAAGGTTTATGCATTCTGTTATCAATTTTGTTTCTCACCTTACTAAAGTAGAAATATAATTGCCTTCATGAGCTACACAAATAGAAAGTGAGAAATCAAAGAAACATTCTAAAGTCAAAAAGAATTAAAAACATTGAACATATTGCCATAACTTGGCCCATTCACACTCAGAATCCTGTATTTTTCATTATACTCACTTATCTAGGCAGTTCTCTGCTGATTGTAAGGGTGCGTTCCAGAAGCTGGGCCTTTGGACGTTAGAACACTTATATGCTTGAGATCAACATTAAATTTGATGGCTGGATTTACGAGACAGCCTCAGAAGCCTATACCTAACCTGTAACAGAAGGGGCTAGCCTTGGAAACTCCCCGCTATTTATGACTTTGTTACTATGGGCAAATGCGTACCAAAACAGCCCAGGAAGTCATTTAACCCCCTCCTCCACACTTCCCTGCTCTTTTGGACACAAGAGGGAACACGGTGGGGGTGGGGGATGCCTCCAGCCTCCAGGGTTAGAGGTGGTCTGTCGGTTTCTCTCTGTATGCTAGGTTTTTATGTTTTGTTTTTTTATTATTGACTGTGCTTAATTTTTCCAATTAAAAGAAATGTATGCCTGCTGCTATAAAAATTAACAATGAAGAATGTACTACTAAAGAAATGAACAACTCCCATGATCCTATTCTTTAGCTATACCCACTGCTAACAGTTTGGTGCATAGCCTTCTTATGCTTTTTATGTATTTATATGAGTGTTGGTATCTTGCATTAAAAAATCTAACGGGGCCGGCCTGGTAGCATAGCAGTTAAGTTTGCATGCTCCGCTTTGGCGGCCCAGGGTTTGCTGGTTCAGATCCTGGGCGTGGACTTACACACAGCTCGTCAGGCCATGCTGAGGCCGCGTCCCACATAGAGCAATTAGAAGGATGTACAACTATGACATACAACTATCTACTTGGGCTTTGGGGGGAAAAAAGGAAAAAAGGAGGAAGATTTGCAACACATGTTAGCTCAGGGCCAATCTTCCTCGAAAAAGAAAATCTATTATATCATACATAGTATTCTGCAACTTGCTTTCCTCGACTTAAAAAGTGATCTTGGACCTCTTTTTTTCTTGTACATATACCCTAGAAGTAGAATTTTTTTGTCAAAGTGTATGCATATTTAGAATTTTACCAATATGTGGACCACTTGTATTCTAAAATATTTTACCAATCTACCTATACATCAATGTGTAGTCAGTGTCTGTTTCCCCAGTACCCTCCCCAATAATGGATATTATAGGTCTGTTTAATCTACAAATTCAAAAGGAAAGAAAAAGATTTAAAATTATTGCTTTAATTCACAAATTATTAATGCACAAATATATTTTAATTACTGGAAAGATGGAGCATTTTTAATATGTTTAATTGGCCACTTTTAGTTCTTTCATATATTTAAACATTCTCTGTTTGTTTTTATTCTAGTGTGTTGGATTGTTTTTTCTTTTGTATTTGTAACAACTCTGCAGATTTGTGATATTAGTTCTTCGACACATGTACTACAAATATTTTTTCTAGGTTTTTTTATCTTTTGTTTGTCTGTCATTCATTGTGTAGAAGTTTAAATTTTTTGTGTATTCTAATTTATGGTATCTGGGTTTCATCTTAAAAACAACTTCTCCAATCCAAAATTGAAAAAATAATTACTTCCATATTTTCTTCTAGCACTTTTAGGGTATAATTTTCTATACTTAAAACTTTGATCCATGTGGAACTGACCCACCCCTGCAACTTGCAAATTGTTCTAATACCATTTATGGGATTTTCCTTTCTAATTTGAAAGTCTAAATTTATCTCACATATACTAGAGTATATTTCTAACCTCTCTATTTTTTCCATTAATCTTCGATAAACCCTGCTCTAGTACTACATTATTTTAACTTACGGAGTTTTGTAATATAGTTTAATGTGTCATAACATAGGTCCCTCCCTTTTGTCTTCTTTTTCAAATTATTCCTGGCCCCCTTTATAAAATTTTTTTTTTCCTTTCAGATGAACTTTCTATTGTTCTTATAAAGTTTCCAAAAACATCTTGTTGGGATTTTAATTAGGATTGCATTTGATTTATAAGATAATTCAGGGACAAATGATAATTATACAATGTTGAGTCTTCCTGTAAGGTTTCAGGATATGTCTTTCCATTTTATTCAAAGTTTTTTCATGCTCGTCAGAAAAATTCAGATTTTTCTGCCTGTAGAAACTGTACTTTCCTTGTAAAATTTATTTCCAAGTACATTATGTTGCTGTTGTTGTTTAGTTGCTACTATGACTGAGAAGTCTTCACCATTACATTTTCTAATGACTTATTATTATTATTATTTATTTACTTATTTTTTGTGAGGATGATTAGCCCTGAACTAACATCTGTTGCCAATCTTCCTCTTTTTGCTTGAAGAAGATTGGCCTTGGGCTAACATCGGTGCCCATCTTCCTCTTCTTTATATGGGATGCCACCACAGCATGGCTTGACAAGCGGTGCATCAGTCGTCGCCTGGGGTCCAAACCTGCGAACCCCGAGCCGCCGAAGCACAGCACTTGAACTTAACTGCTATGCCACTGGGCTGGCCCCAAAATTAATTACTTTTGTATAATTATTTTGTATCTAGACACATTACTGAAATTGCTTGTTGCTCATAATAATTTTAATTAATTCTCAGATTTTTCAACATATGTAATTATATCTTGTCTAACTAATGACCGGTTTGTCTTCTTTTTATGTGTGAGGACATTTGCAATTCAAAGAGCGCCTTATTGAATTCATGGTGCTGGAGCTGGCTCTAGCCCACACTGCTCACATAAGCCGATTGTTACATTTTCAGGAATTTTGCAAACTGGCTGACAGACATCAAGTTGGCAGCTTGAAATTGGTGATGAGTGAAAGTATTCACACGATGGATATCAGCAAAGGCTACAAATTAAAGCTCCCACTCAACCCCAGCACCTCCAACTGGTTGTTAACCATTCGCCAGCACCAGATTTACTCCATACCTACTACATCTGAGATAAAAAAAAGAACCTTGTTTTTTAAAACTTCCAGAAGTGAATCCACAGATTACAATTAAAACTCAATTCTATGAGTAACAATCTTATCAAAAAACCCTTCCTTACTGCTAAGAGCACGAATGAGATGTTATAGCACAGTGGTTAAGAACTCTGGCTTTGGACCTAAATTTAAATTTAAGTTTCATAAATATTATCGGTGTGGAAATGCAAATCAAAACCACAAAGAGATACCACTTCACACTCATTAGGATGGCTAAAATAATATTTGCAAAAATGTGTGGAAGTGGGAACACTCTTACGTTGTTCACAGCATTGTAAAATGGTACAGCCACTTTGGAAAACAATTTGGCAATTCCTCAAAATATTAAATATAGAGTTGCCATATGACCCATATATTTTACCTCTAATTTTTACCCAAGAGAAGTGAAAACATTCGTCCACACAAAACTTATACACAAATGTTCATAGCAGCATTATTCATAACAGCCAAAGGTGGAAACAACCCAAACATCCACCAACTGATAAATGGATAAATAAAATGTGGCATATCCATATAATGGAATATTATTTGGCAATAAAAAGAAAAGAAGTACTGATATATGCTACAACATGAATAGCTTCTGAAAACATTATGCTAAGAAGCAAGGCAGTGGGGCCGGCCCGGTGGCGCAGCGGTTAGGTGCACGCGCTCCGCTGTGGTGGTCCGAGGGTTTGCAGGTTCGAATCCCAGGCACACACAGAAACACCACTTGTCGAGCCATGCTGTGGCGGC